TCCTCTTGGCAGTGATGGCCTATGACCGCTTCGTGGCCATCTGCAGCCCCCTGCGCTACCCCATCTCCATGCGCCCCTCGGTCTGTGCCCGCCTGGTGCTGGGCTCCTACTGCGGGGGCTGCCTCAACTCCATCCTGCAGACCAGCTTCACATTCAGCCTCCCGTTCTGCAGCTCCAACCACATCGACCACTTCTTCTGTGATGTGCCGCCTCTGCTCAAACTCGCCTGTGCTGACACTACCATCAATGAGCTGGTCATGTTTGGCCTGTGTGGGCTCATCATCGTGGGCACCACACTCGTGGTCCTCGTTTCCTACGGCTACATCACAGGGACCATCCTGAGGATGCGCTCAGGAGGAGGGAGACACAAGCTCTTCTCCACCTGCGGCTCCCACATGACAGCCGTGTCCCTCTTTTATGGGACTGTCTTTGTCATGTATGCCCAGCCGGGAGCTGTGGAGTCCATGGAGCAGGGCAAGGTGGTCTCTGTCTTCTACACGCTGGTCATCCCGATGCTCAACCCCCTCATCTACAGTCTGAGAAACAAGGATGTGCAGGATGCCCTGTGGAGACTGGGCCAGAGACACACAGCCACGTGAAGGAGGGTGGACAGAGGGGGACAATGTGTCCTGAGGAGAGGACTAGAGGGCTTTGCTGGAGGTATTGCATTTGGTTTGACAAATTCATTCCTCATTCACCCAGTTCATTCTTTCATTAAGCATCTTATTCAACCTTTCAGGGAAGCACATCATGAAACACGTACACAAGTGTGAGATGCAGAGATGGATAAAGTATCTTTGCCACCAAGAGACTAATGGTCCACAGATAAGACCCAAAGCTTGAAGTTTTGTAACACACAGTGGGTATAGTCATGAACAGGTAGTCTTTGAAGCAGGATATGGGTCCCAATTCAAAACCTACCAGTGGAGGTACATGACTAAAAAATTCTGAGATCTCTCTACTTCAAGGCTGAGTCCTTGTAACTCTGTGTTCAGCAATCTCCCTGGACTACCTAGCAGGGGCTTTAAAACCCTCAGCCTTGGCCCTTCCTTGGTGCTGGCCTGGGGTCACCCAGATCCAACTAGAGGAGTTAGGAAGACCACGCTTTCCCTCGGTCCTGCAGCGGGGCTGCTCCTCCTCCTCCCCCTCCTGCTCACTGATGCCGGCCCCCAACAAGGCAGCAGGGAGCACCTGCTCCTGCTTCCGAGGCTCCCAGTGCTCCTTGTCCTGGGCTCTCCCCCGAGTCAGCAGCTGGGAGCCCCAGGAGTCAGCGTGGATTCCTGACACCCCAAGTTCCACTGACCCTTTGAGAGAGTTAACTTAGGCAGGTTGATATGGAGCCCAAGCCTGAGTAAGACCCTTTAAGGAGGAGGTAAACCTTCCATCTTCCTCACATGCTTTTGCCTTAGACAAGTAGGTCTTGTAGGCAGCAGGATCTCTTCTTCAAAGGCATGCAGTTTTTTGAGCTTTGGTTGTACATTAAGGAAGACTGTCCAGGTAAAAACTCCCATAGCCTTGAGCTCTGGGTTAACCTGTTCCTTCTGGCTAATCTCATCCTGATGTCATCCCAGGATGTATGTTACGGGGAAGGGTCTGGACAAAATTCTCACAACCTTGAGGTATTTTTCATCTGTTCTCAGCAGCTAGTTGAGAAGTATATAAGGCCCCGCTTAAACTAGTGAGGTGGGTACTCTCCTGCTCATTTCTGATGTCTACGCCCCCTTATGATGTCTTCTATATGACAGAAGATTTTTCTGTCACTTTCACTTTAAGTAAAATCTACACAAAACTCTGAGTGACTGAGACTGGCTTTGGCCCAGGAGTTAAATCTTTTCGTTCAGAGACCATGAATCCGGACACCACTCACTGCTAAGCAATTGGCTTTCCCATCTGTGCAACTGGTGACAGTGTACTGACTACTTGTGACCCTAACAAATGGTGTCTTGTCAGCACAAGCACCTCTGAGTAAGGATGAAGGTGCTGGTGCTGCTGAGGGGAGTGGGGCTGGAGAGAGAAGATGCACTTTCTTGATGGTGAGCACAGCTTCCTGGCCCTCTGTCTCACACTCCCTGGGGGACCTGGATCCTTGGTCTTCACCTGCCTGTTCAGAGATCCATCCTTGTGCTCCATGGACCCAACACACAGCCTGGACTGAGAGTCAATGGCCTTCTTGTCGTATCTCCCTTTGGTAGAGTTATCACTCCCACGGTCACTACCAGGAGGTTGTCCTCTCTTCCCTGGACCATCAGTGGGGACGTGCCCTGTCTCTCTGATCACAGCTCTCCACCTCCCTGCTCTCCTGCTCAGGAGGGCTGGGGAGGGACTATAGCACCCAGGTCATCAGATTGCTGCTCACTACTACTCAAATGGAACATTCTTCAAGGTCTCTGCTCAATTCTTATTCCCATTGTCTCATATCTGGCCTTCATAATTAATTCTACCTTTGCCAGTTCTTCAAAGTATCTTTTCTTTCCAAGTTATATAATTCTGTCTCCCACTCTCCCTGTTTCCTCTATTTCTCTCTTCATCTCACTGTGCCTCATTTCCCCTCCTTCCCCCTTCCTTCCTTCATTGTTTTCTCTCTCCCCCTTCTTCCTTTCTCACTGTATTTTTTCATTCCATAAGCTTTCTTCTACTACCCTAATCAAAGTTTCTAAAGGAAAATGGAAAATGTAATATTTTTCTATTTCAAGTGTAGATTTTCCATCATCTATTATAGTAAAATTTCATGGTACAAATATTAAGGAATCAGTGAATCTTGGTAAAAGGTCATTAATTCTGAGTTTGGCTAAATTGGGAAAGCTGGTTCAATATTAGATATAGTAGAAATTCTCCAATGGTCTAGAAGAAAATGATTTTTAAACTGTACCTTGACTTTGCCTGTATGTAAACATACATGTCAGATTGTAGTGAAAATCACTGTACAGTGTTAGAAGTGGTATATATATTTCATTGTGTCATAGCTTTGCAAACTGCTGGTACATAGTAGATTCTCAGTTCACACCTACTGCCTGATTATAATTTGAGTTCAGTGTTAATTAGTCATTGAACTTCAAAATGTACATGATACAGCTCTAGTTTCTTTATTTCGTTTAGGTGGACAATAAACACATTACATTGGAAAACTATATTGTAGTTTTGATGTTTATTTTAGAGTAAGCTTCAGAAGTTTCTTTTAATGTAAAATATAACTTTTGTTGTAACTAATTTTCCTTGTACAGTTCAGTAATGTTTAGCATATTCACCTTGTGTATATCAGATCTCCAGAATGTTTTCATCTTAAAAACCTGTAACTCCATACCCCTAATCAATAACTCCCTGTTTCCCCCTTATCTCCACCACTGGCAGCCATCATTACGCTTTCTGTCTCTATGAATGTGACTTCTTCAGATGCCCCAGATGAGTAAAACATACAGCAGTTGTCTTTTTGCATCTGATTGTTTCACTTAGCATAGTCCTCAAGGTGTGCCCATGTTGAAAATTGGCAATGTGGATAATGACAGGATTTCTATCCTTTTTAAGGCTGACTGGTATTCTATCACATGCATATGTGATGGATTTTTGTTTATCTCTTCATCCACCAAGGGACACTTGGGTTGCCTCCACCTTTTAGTTATGAAGAAGGATGTGCTGTGTAGATAGGCATGCATATATTTCAGAGAAACTGCTTTTTTTTAGTATATTAGCAGATGTTTGATTGTATCAAATGGTATTTTTTTTTTAATTTTGAGGAGAATTAAATAGGATCATCATGGCTGCACCTGATGTGAAGAACTGAGTCATTGGAACAGAAGCTGATTCTGGGAAAGGGTGAAGGCAGGAGAAGGGGATGACAGAGGATGAGATGGTTGGATGGCATCACCAACTTGATGGACATGAGTTTGAGCAAGCTCCGGGATTTTGTGATGGACAGGGAAGCCAGGCATGCTGCAGTGCATGGGGTCACAAAGATTCATACACGACTGAGTGACTGAACTGAACTGTATCATTTCATATTCCCACCAACAGTCCATTCTTTGCAACCCATGGACTATAGCCTGCCAGGATCCTCTGCCCGTGGAATTCTCCAGGCAAGAATACTGGAGTGGGTTATGATTTCCTCTTCCAGGGGATCTTCCCAGGGATCAAACCCAAGTCTCTTACATCTCCTGCATTAATAGGTGGGTTCTTTACCACGAGTGCCACCTGTGAAGCCCATATAGTACTTTTCATCATGGCTGTACCATTTCATATCCCCACCAACAGTGTAAAACAACTTCAGTTTCTTTACATACTAGTCAACATATGTGTTTTTTTCACAGTATCCCTCATAATGATTGTGAAATGTTATGTCTTTCTTCTTTTCATTTTCCTAATGATTAGTGATTTTGAGCATTTTCTTATATGTTTACTTGCAATTTATAGATAATCTTTAGAGAAATCTTCAAGTAGTATGAACACTTTCAATTTGGTTATCTGTCTGTTTAATTGTAGAAATTATTTATATATTCTGGATGTAATCCTCTTAGTAGAGATAAGATTTTTCAACATTTTTGGGTTTCCCAGGTGGCTTTGTGGTACAAGAATCTGCTTACCAATGCAGGTGAAATGAGTTTGATCCCAATCCAGGAAGATCCCACATGCAGTGGAGCAACAAAGCCCGGGCACTGCAGCTAAGGCTGTGCTCTAGGGCTGGGGAGCTGCAGCTACTGAAGCCTGCGTGCCCCAGAGTCCTGCTCCGCAAACGAGAAGCCACAGCAATGAATGTGTACCCCAGAAATGAGAGTGTGCAGCAATGAGCAGCCACACACCGCAGTGAAAAGTAGCCCCCGCCATCTGCAACCAGAGAAAAGCCTGAACAGCAACGAAGACCCAGCACAGCCAGTAAATAAATACAAATAAAATTATTTTTAAAAAGATTTCAATGATTTCTTCCACCTTGTATGTTGCTTTCTCACAATGTTGTATATGTGCTTTAATGCTGTGATGTTTAATTTAAGTTGTAGGAACTCTCTCCATATATTCTAGATACTACCATACATCAGACACAAGATTTGCAAACATTTCCCTCCATCCCACAGGTTGCCTTTTCACGCTGTTATTTAAGACTTTCATGCACAGGTTTTCAAATTTGATGGAGTCCCTTCTGTCTATTTTTACTTTTCTTTGGTTTGTTTCTATTAATTATTTTTTAATTGAAGGGTAATTGCTTTACAGAATTTTGTTTTCTGTCAAATCTCAACATGAATCAGCCATAGGTATACCTTTATCCCCTCCCTTTCCAAACCTCCCTCCCATGTCCCTCCCCATCCCATCCCTCTAGGTTGAGACGGAGCCCCTGTTTGAGTTTCCTGAGCCAAACAGCAGATTCCCGTTGGCTATCTGTTTTACATGTGGTAATGTAAGTTTCCATGGTACTCTTTCCATACATCTTACCCTCTCCTCCCCTCTCCCCATGTCTATAAGTCTATTCTCTATATCTGTTTCCTTTATTGCTGCCCTGAAAATAAATTCTTCAGTACCATTTTCCTAGATTTCATATGTATGTGTTAGAATATATTTTTCTTTCTCTTTCTGACTTACTTCATCTGTATAAGAGGCTCTAGTTTCATCCACCCCATTAGAACTGACTTAAATGTATTCTTTTTATGGCTGAGTAATACTCCATTCTGTATATGTGCCACAACTTCTTTATCCATTCATCTGTCGATGGACATCTAGG